GGGACACAGCAGGAAACTTCCATTATGGCAGGGTCTAGAGGAATGGGAGGGAAAGATGCACAGCTATACTACGATCATCCTCTTGAGGAAAGTAAACTTAGCTTTAGAAAAAAAAATAAAGAAAAGATTTAAAAGCCCAAGTAAAATTTTACAGGGAAGGGCATTTGTACTTGAGTCTTCTTGTAATGTATGTTAAAACATATAAAAATGTGACATAAATGCAAGTCAAAGGTTTGGAACACACACACACACACACACACACTCTTTCTTGAGAATGCCTTGTAGGTGGAATTATTTATGTGATTACTTTAGTTGTATACAATATTACTCAATATTGAAGCAACATACAGTCTCTTTGCTGATATCATCTGAGACATATGCTGAAACAAAGGCAAGTAATAAGAGATTCACTTTCCCAGTCTTCTTTGTGCTTATTCTGGAAAAAATATGTATTTGCTTGTAACACACAAATGTTTTTCCTTATTTCGATGGAAAATAATTAATAACAGTAAAATAGCAATTACCGTCTTCTGTCAGTATTCCCTATGGATTTCATGTAGTTTTCAGGAATGCCCTGAATGCTTAGAATAAACATGTTTCATCATATGTCGTGGCAAGAGATTTTATACTGCTGTACTCATATTAAAGAGAAAGACCATTTCACGGAAAGCAGGAGTTCTCAAACTTGTCTTTGACAAGGAGCCAGAGTTTCTCCACCAGGGCTTCTGAACCAGCAGCTCCTTGTGGAGGGCCTGTGCTGCCCACTGCTCTGCGCTAAGGATCATCCCAGGTCTCTACTCCCTCATGCCAGCAGCTTGCTATCTCTGCTTCAGTGAAGACAGTCAGAACTACCTCCAGACACTACTAAATGTACACTGGGAGGCAAAATTCCTTGAGTAAACCTAGAAATCAGAAATGATTGTCATCTTCATATTGCAAATGAATAATATTTACTTAATATCATATTCTTGAAATTTTACTTATATTTAGATTTTAAGACACTATTCTTTTGGAGTTTGAGTACTACCAATTTGATATTCTCTTACTTGCCTTTCCTCAGTGAAACAACTTCTGACATGCCTGAATTAGCCTGACCAATTTCATTAGCAAATCTCACACCCACTAATCCTATTAATTTGCCTCTTGTCAAAGAATCCCCTATGGTCCATAGTGTCTAAAATGTCACATTTCTTCTCAAGGAGTTGCTTGTACACTTGAAAAAGCTGACAGAATGCTTGAAGTCCTCGAGGTGCATAACTCCAAATAAACTGCTTTCAGTACTCTTGGCTAAATAGCCAAATTTCATCCCAGCCCTTCTATCCTCTTTAAAGTGCTTATACTTCACATTGTAGAAACAAATACAGCAATTTTAAAACCTGTATTGTGCACTTAAAGGGGAATATAAAGAGCTGGTGAGACATCTCAGTGGACTAAGTGCCTGCTTAGGTAAGTGAAAGGACCTAAGCTGGATGCCTGGCACCACATGCCACACTGGCCCTGCCCTTGGGGGGCACATGGGGTCTGCAAGACCAGGCATGGTGGCACACACCTGTAACCCAGAGCTGGGGAGGCAGAAAACAGGAGGATCACTATGAGTCCAATCGTGTAGTGGGACCCTGTACCAAATACATAAAATAAATACATTAAAAATAAAAGGGAATACATCAAAATGAAACCATAAGCTGTATTATATTCAGGTGTTACTATTAACATTTTTATTAAAGTACAGACAGGGGAGTAATTTATTTAAAACAGGAAATAGATACTCTGACATGTAAGTCATACATTCACAGTCCTCGGGTATTAGCCCACATCAAAAAGTTGATATGAGGGTAAAGGTGGGAGCGGATAGGAGAGGCTGTGAGGATCACGACGGAGCACATTCCAGGACAGGTTGTTCCCACACATGCTGCATACTATGTACAGCAGGGAAAGGAGTCATTGCTTTATTTTAGGCTTTTCTATAATATTCTTTATTATTATTGCAGTTATCTTCTAGACAATTTTGTTAGAGTAATAAATTGTGTATATTCTTATTTCCACTTACTATACGATCAAGTTCTAGATTAGATGACTACTAGAAAGACATAAGAAATACAGGTATAAAGTGTATCTGTCTATGTCAATCACTTCTAGAAGGACTACAGCAGCATGTATATACTTTTACTGGGTTATCTTTCATTGAAAATGGGTTAATAATACTGCTTTAATTTAGAATGATGACATAATTTCTATTCAGTATTTATTTAAAACATATGTTGTACATCTTGTACATTTTACCATATGCATATAGTTCTTTTTTTTTCCATAGGAAACAACAGTTTTTGAAGAGGTCACATTTATGTGTTTCCACTCCTATTGTTTACTTATTGCAAACTATGCTTCAATTACAGCGCTTATTATTAACTTACTATGTTACATGTTTTGAATTGACAAATGAAGTGTATCTTTATCATGTATAATGTGAACTTTTGAAATAAATATATATTATGTAGTGGCTAAAGTGAAATAATTAAAATAGATGTTGTTTCACATACTTATTTTCATTTTTTGTGCAGTGAGAACATTTGTAATCTACATTTTCAGCCATATCGCCCTCTGTACATACATTAAAACTTTAGTTATTGGGAGCAGTTGCCGAGTGAGGATTTTCTAGGTGGCATCACTGTGAGGGAATCCTCTGTGGCTCTTACTGGAATGAGAATGCTGAGGAAGAGCCGCTGGATGGCAGGAATGCTTGTTGTATTGTTGAATGAATCTATTGCCATGACAAAGTTTACAGTATCATGATTTTAGCTAGCTACGATTTCTTTTCACATCGACTGAAGCACAGACAAGTACCAAACACCAAGGCTTAAAAGTGATCACACAGTTGCTTGTTCTCATGGCCAACAGAGGCTATCTGCTTACAAACTCTTTCATAAACATCTCATTAAAAATAACAACTATCATAAAAGCAAATACATATTTTCCAAGTATTCAGAAGTATAATATTAATGTTTTCATAGCATTGACAATTTTGAATGTGTATTATTTTTCAGTAGATTATGAGCTTTTAAAGTAACTTAATTTTAATTTTCTTTATTGATGCTGAATAAATTAGTAAATTATCATTTTTTGCATTTCAGAAATAAAGCATTTATAATATAAGGGGTTATGTTAGTTGACTATAGTTACATGTTGACCTACAGTATAAGCTCTACTTGTATTAGAGCTTAAAACCAAGGTATGTTAGAAGTTAAAAATCTATTCATTTTCTTCCATGAAAGGTATGATGCTCAGGCCAGTCAGATAGCTCATCAGACTAAAGCACCTGTGTAGGCAGAGTGCAGGGACAAGGGTTGAACCCCCGGCACAACATGCTGTGCCAGCCCCGCCCCCAGGGCGCAGTGAGAGATAGTCTGAGACTGGGCGTGGTGGCATGCACCTATAATCCCAGAGCTTGGAAGGCTGAAAACAGGAGGATCACTACGAGTCCAATCTGTGTAGTGAGACCCTGTACTAAAATACATTAAAAAAAGAAGGTATGATTTTAAGAATTTCAAAAGGATGGTAGCAGCTAAAAGAGGACATATTAAGACTGTGGAACTCTCTCTTTTTCGATACATAGATAAATAGCTATATACACATATATATTCACATATTATGTGATTGAAGGTAAGTCACAATAAGGTTTTAGAACTTTTTTTTAAAGAAATCATGTGGGATTAACAATGAGGAGTGAATATACTTGCCATTGAACAAGAAATAATACTTTTCAATTATTGAAATATATTTTCTCAATAAATAGTGTAAATGTTATTGCCTAAAATATTTAAAAGAACTAGAATCCATTCTCCAGAATGAATACTGGATATTATGCCTTCAATTGTTTTAGATCTCCATGGATACTCATTGGAGAATCAACATGGGGTACAGTTTGCCTAAATCTAAGGCATGATCTGAGTCAGTGATTTATACCCCATGTGCAGGCACAGATGCTGTGCAGGAGTAATGTCGTATTTTCTTGTTAGTTACTAAGGCATTCATAAAGTTACTATGACATATCCTTTCTTTAAGGAAAAGAAAGAAGTTTCTGTTTTTATTATGTTGGGATCCATATCTTGAGAAATTTATGTTTTACTGCTACCAATTTATTTTCTTTCAATTAATAGTTATACTTTGAATTAATAGAGTTCTTTTAAAACAGACAATTAAAGCACTGAGACCATAACTGTTATCTCTTTGCTGTAACTTGACCCATTTACTGAACCCAAATCTTTCTGTTGCTCACTGCGAGGGAAAACGTGGTTAGAATGAAAAGTTCAGAGGAATGTCCTCGGTGTAAACTTCCGCAGAAGATGAGAAAACCCTTTGAAGTATCTAATTGTGAATTTCAGCCAATTCCTAAACAAAGTAGGAATGACTTACATAAATAATTGAAAATTTGTCTTTGATGTCATTCTTCAAACTAAATAAACCTTTCTACCTAGCATGTGCTGTATCTACTTTTCAGAATCCAGAGACAAGTTGCAATTCACTAAAATGATCCAAATAGCAGCAACTGATTGTGTTCCTGAGTTGACATTGCAGTATTCATTCAAAAAGCATTTGATGTTGAAAAATAGCCTTTCTTAAGTGCACCTACTTTTACTATTAAGTATCAAATGTTCTTCTCCAGAACAAAACTATTTGAATAATTTCCAGAGTGAATTTTTTTAAGCCTAGATCTCTTTATGACTTTTCTATGATATCATTATCCTAGTTTCCAACCGTAAAGTTGAATTTCATGCATTTGTTTTATATCGGTGAAAATGCTGTACATATGCTCAAGTATTGCTGCCCATTGGTTTTCCTATATCTGGAGGTACAAATTTCAATATATCCGAATACATATATTCCTCAGAGACATCAGGAGGGTGGGTCTCTAGGTATGCATAATATCACATGCTATCCAGTTCTTAACAAAGGACCTTAGATAATGATACTAAAATTCTTTTTCGGCTTTCTTTATTTCATAGGACTATACACTTACCATGTACTTCCAGCAGTCTTGGAAAGACAAAAGGCTTTCTTATTCTGGAATCCCACTAAACCTCACCTTAGACAACAGAGTAGCTGACCAACTGTGGGTACCAGACACCTACTTTCTGAATGACAAGAAGTCGTTTGTGCATGGGGTCACTGTGAAAAATCGAATGATCCGACTGCATCCAGATGGAACGGTTCTCTACGGACTCCGGTAAATCACTTCATATTGCATGTTGTAATTTTGTTGTTGTTATTTCCATTCCTACTTTTGGAAGTGGACAGAGGGGAAAGAAACAAGTATGAAATGCTCTCATCTGCATAATATCCTGTATTAAGAGTTAGAAAATCTCTTTTTCAATCATTTAAACTCAGTGTATCTGCATTTGTCCATCAACGCAAATGAACATTTTGTCCTGACCATCAAACTATAAAGTAGCAAGAAAATTTGTTCTTACCAGACAGAATTCATATCTAACTTGTTCTAGAAGTTATATCGCTTATAGTTAATTGCTTGTTTTTCTCAGAGCCACCCAGAATGACATACATGGTGTGTTCTGTTGAGTATAGCTACTTAGAAGAAATGAGAAAATAATTTATATCAACTTTGAGAAGATTCACAGTATTTTTATTTTTAAATTTCATATTTTTGTATTGTAGCTTTCATATTTAGAATTAGGTACACATTAAATTGATTTTTGTGATATACGGAGGTCATTTTTCCCCAACTATCCAGTTACCTGTGTATCATTTATTGCAGTTTTCCTTTGCCATTGGATTATATTGGTGGCTTTGATGGTATTTGTACAGGTTGATTTCAAGAATTCTATTCCGCTCCATTGTTGTATTAGTTGTTATTAGGCAGGGTACCTGCATTGTAATTATAGTTCCCCAATGTCAGTCATGAAGTCAAGGAATATAAGTCCTCTAACTTTGTGTTTATTTTGCAAAATTTATTTGGATATTCAAGGTCTTTTGCTCTCCTTATATTTTTTAGAATTAACTTCTCAACCTCTACCAGATAAAAGTCTGCTGGGGCTATAATTAAAATATATTGAATTTATAAATCAGTTGGTAAGAATTGAAATCATAAAGTTATCTAATCCAAAAGCATGAATTATTTAAGTTATCTTTAATTTATACTAGCAATGTTTTATGACATAGTTCTTTTCTCTGTTTTGTTTAGGAAAAATCTGTCAAAAGGAAATATGATATATTTCTGGAGGTCTATTATTAATCTACTTATGGTTAAGGGCTTATTAAAATTTCCAAGCTGTGTTTCAAAAATCAGCTTCCAGTTTTATAAAACAATATATAAGCCTGTTCTGGGACACATAGATTGGTGGGTTTTTAACCTTTGGTGACACCTTTGTGATCATTTTGAGAGACAGATGAAAGTTATATTCATATCCGTATTCATAAGCTCTCTAAAATCCTCCCATGCACTTCAACCACTGAGCTAAAGCTCTGTTTACAGATCAAAATTCTACAATATGTAATGTTTGTAAGTTCACCAGTATCTCCAAATAAAATGGATATGAAAAATACATTAAGATAACCCTTTCAATCTTAATATGGTTGACAATTTAGTTGATAAATTTAATCTTTATTTAGACAGTGATGTGACATCAGTTGATCTTAATAAAATGATCCTCAGAATTTTTATATATTTTCAGTATTTCAAAAGCTTTCAACTCCAAAAATCTTTGATCAGAAAGTATCTTGTAAACATAGTGGCATCAAGTAACAGTTCCTTTGAGACTATTGATAGAGACTACCATAAAACCTACCTATCTGATGTCAGTATTTGATCAGTAGTGATAGCTCATTCACTGGAAATAAACCATTATTTCATCTTTCCAACACCTATCAATATGTATACTAGAAAAATAATTGTGTGGCTCATTTTAATAAGAAAATAACCTGCTATATGTATAAGGATACTTATTAGTCAAGAATATAGAATATGTAAAAGCTTTTCTGTTTAAAAAAGGATGATTGCATTTCTTACATGAATGGTGGTCAGATTGTCAGTTTATAGGTTTGTCTTCAGTCAGTTTCCAAATTGTTGACAACTTCTACCAATGGGAATGTCACAAAGGAAAAACATATGACAGAATTACGAATCTGAAAATTCCTTTTTGTTAAAACTTAGAAAACTGAAAAAAAAAAAAGAGTAGAGGTCCTTTATAAGAGTACAATAAAGTAATGACAGAGTTGGTATCTGATTCTCATGCCTGTGCTTTCCCCACTCTTTTTCTTTTCAAATACACTTAGAAGTCAACACCTCTTCCAAGATTTTATACAACATCGCTTTCTCCTCTTGAGAGCCAAACTAGATCTTCAATTTTTAGCCAGCAAACAGAGGATGATCATCCAATCAGAAACACAAAATCAGAGTAAACAGGAAATCATCTCGGCTGTGACCTCTTTGCGACACCAGTTTCCTCTACACATACTTCACATCAGCTCTGACGTCTCCTTACACCCTTCCTGTTTTTCCATGATCTTCTTCTTTATAGGTTTGGTTTTCCTTTCCCCAAAGCTGTAGCAATCACAGAAAGAGCATAAATTATGGCAGAAAAAGTATAGCATCTGGAATCAGAAGGCCAAGTTGGATTTCAACATTACAATTTCAAGAGTGCTTCACTTTGAACAAAGTATGCAAATTTTCTAAGCTTTAGTTTTCTTGGGTGCAGTAAGAGATTAATAGCCTGTAACTCCTTGTTAAGAAAATCTTATGAAATAATTAATAGCAGAAAACATTCTAAACCTAAATTATAATTTTCTAAAGTAATTGTGCTATATACAGCCTTTACTAGGGATTAGAAAAGCTGTACCTTGAGGACTGTTCCTTAACTCACGGGGATGAGATATGGTTGTCCAATTAAGAAAACACTCATTAAATACCTAGTGTGTACACTCATTTTTACTGTGGCTCTCGGAGTAATTTTTCTGGAGCTTGATGGAAATTTTTCACTGTGGTAGAGGAGAAAGGCCCTGGAGCTGATTGGATGAAAGTTGAGGCCTAACCAGGGTTGTACTGGTACCATTTTTATCTTCTTAGACTTCATCCCCTAACCTTCAAGGGAGGATATGGGTAAACTTAGCCAAATCTCCTTCTAAACCTAAATTCCATTCCCTTTGTCATCCTGTATATTAAAGCATTTTACTTTAATTCATCTGTTTTAACTTTTCCTAGTTTGCTTTTCTTTTAAGAGCATCATCTCATTTAGATCTGGAACAGCCCCAAAAGCCTCATGTTCAGAGATGGGCCTTAGGAAAGCTGATTGGATCACGGGAGCACTATGCTTAGCAGAGGATTAATCTACTGATAAGTGAATAGCTATTGTGCTGTTAGGAGGTAGAGTTTGGCCTGTAAACATATTTTCCTGGGATAATAACCTGAACAGGTGTATTACTGTCTCTGGCTCCTCCATTTGTCCTGCTTCCTGGCTATCATGACATGTGCAGCTTTCCTTCTACCTTGCTATTTTTCCTGGAGCCTGCCAACCATGAGCTGAAATTCTATAACTGTGAGACAAACTAAATCTCTTTTTAAATTATGGTTTTAAATATTTTGCTCCACCAATGGTAAAGTGACTGAGCCAGAGCCTTTTAGAGAATACTTCCTAAGTATACACTGTAGAAAATTCCTATCATACAGTATATTTATTGGCATTGTTATAGCTGTGTAATGCTTCTTTTAGGAGAATGAACATGATGTTCTTATCCTTTGCTGTAAGTCCAGCTATTAGTCATTGTGATGGAGGCCGTAGATTAATGAGCAATTTTTAGCAATGTCAAGATCAAAGATATTTCCTGAATGCAACCTTAAATTCCTTTTGACCAGGCATTTCATAATCATAAGTTGATATTTATTAAACTAAATCAATTTTAGCTCAACATTTTCTTCTTTTTTAGCCATGTCAAATCTGCTTTTATATCTAGCACATGTTATACAGAACCACACACACACTGTAATAGAACAGAATGGTGTAGTGAAGGTGACAGATACCTCTGAGCAACCAGACTACTGTGCGACAGGTATGCACCCAGAGGGAGAAATTCCATTTCCTGCCTGCTCTGCTCTTGTGCCACCTCTGCTGTGGCAAAATACATCACACCAAGAGGAAACGCTGCAAGCAGTGTGATTTCCTCCTTTGAGGGATCTCCTTGAGGGAGGTCGATGTTATACTGCGAGGTGCCTCAGTCTCATGAGCCCTCTGTCCACTCTTCTTGAAGCCCACGAGGTCCTTCCTTTCCTTAAAAATTGAATTCTAAGCAAATCAGCTCCCTCAAGATGACACAACAAATCTTAAAAGTCTCCTCATTTCTCCCTGTCTTTGATTTAACTCAGAGGTAGATGTTTCTCTTGTTTCTAAGACTAATTTTTCTATATTTGTACTGATTCTTACTGCTGCACACGCTCATCAGGCTATGTTCTCCTTCATTAAATAAACTCTTTAGTATTTTCTCTCTTTCAATTTCATTTTCTTGGCTTTCACCTTGAGCTCCTATCTGCTCTCAGCTTGGCTTCCCCTACTCTGTCACCACCCATCTATTCTTCAGTCTCCAAAAGCAGCTTTCCCACCCATGTCACCTTCTTAAAATAGCTCCAAAATTACCCAAACAATCATTGACTCACATTAATGCTGTAGACATAGCTGAAGAACATCGCTGGCCCTTACCTGAAGTTTTCCAAAATCCACTGCAGTGACTGCATTGCTCTTGTTCCTTCTGCTGTTCCATGGTCATCTCTTCTTTCACTTCTAGTCATGAGTTGCAGGATTTCTCTAGGTTTAATCTGATCATTGAACTTCACATCTTTCAGTACCTAAAATTCCAAATCTCTGAACTTCAGAAAAAAAAGTTGTCATTGTTTAACGATCACCTGCCTGTGGGTTTCTGTCAGCTTCTGGCACAACTCTTGTATTTTGAATCACTTATTTTGCCCAAAACTGGACTTTCCTCCTTCTGCAGGTAATAACAAAAGCACCATCGCCCAGTCAACAGGCGTAAACCCGAAGATGTCTTTGACTCCCCATCTATTTCATCCCTGAGATCAAATCTGTTGCTTTTATCTGCTTTATCTCAACTGTCTTCTCTAAATTCTAAACCACTTCTTCCACCTAAATTAGCATTTTGCTGTCACTGGCTAGTTAACTTTCCTCAACTTTTTCTTTCTTACTACTGTTGGCTAGTTCTTACAGA